GAGGGCTGCCAGAGGCTCGCTATCGCTCTGACTCTTTTAAACCTGCGACTGTGTGGAATCCAAAGTAAAGCAGGCTGCCAAGCTCACGCTGCTTGATACACTGATAAACGATGTGAGTTTTGGCTGCGTGGCGAGATGCAGCAGAAAGACAAAACTTAGAGGAATTACAGGTGGCTAGAGTTCCTCCTCCTCCTCCTCCGATCTGTACTGTGATGCTTATTCAAAGACTCTTTGTCCCTAGAATTAAAACCTGCTGTAATTCACATTACAGCATATTATTCTAGATAATTTAGTTTGTTAATCTAATTTGGTTTGGATGTATTCCTTTTTTTTTTCTCCAGACAGTTTTTCAGGATTGTCGTCATGCAAGGAAAACGGGGTTAGGAATTCAAAAGACTCTTCAGGAATCTGGAGCGTAAAATTCCCAATTGAGCCAACATAATTCAGAATTTAGTTGCAACTTTTTATTTTATTTCACGGTTAATTATAATCCTCATCACAAGCGCGAATTAAAGTAAATGCTAAACTAGCACATCTTGTGTTGTTTTGCTGGAGCTCCGGGTTAGAATACCATTCAACATAAAACTCCACTTTTTTTATGTAATGAGCTAATGGAGGTACTTCCTTGTTATTTTAACCACAATCATGCAGATTAAAGTATTTTAAGGCAACTATGTTTAGCCGAGTGTTAAACAATTTTACCATAGTCAAAGTAAAGAATGAACTTTTTCTATAAGAAAAAAGAGGCTTAAAATTTCAGTAAATAAGGATGAATTCACTTAGAGACTTAAACTCTTTCCTAGGGTGTCAAATGTGGATCACACCTTGTTCAGAAACGTTTTTTATTGCGATTAGAAAATGTTTCATTAATCCTGAGGTACTGAATAGAGGCAACACTGAGCACTAGATGCTTTCAGAAGTTCAACCATCTTATACTACTGATGTTCCTTCTATTTTTAAGGACTAAGCTACGTCAGAAGTGATGATCATCTGGAATCAAGCTTTTGTTTTCCTGCCAGATTAACAAGATGGAGGAAGAAGAATTGTGTTTCCCGGCATCAGAAGACGCAGCTCCTGCTTGAAGTGCAGAGACACTGAAGGAGCTTTGAGATAACAGCGGCCTCCTGGCACGGCGTAGCGTTTGCCAGGAGCAATTACAGTCTTTTATGCCACCGCATTTCTGTTCAAACTCTAATCTATTTTTAATGCTGCAGCGCTTGGAACACTGGAACATTTGTTCATGCAGCAAAGCGACTGTTCACGTCCTAAATGCATCATAGAAGGAGCGGAGCAATACGCTGGGAATAGATGCATCGAGAAAGATTTGAGCAAAGTTTAAAAAGAATCAAGAGAAACACCTACAGTGAGTCAGAGCAAAGAGAACAAATCTGTCGATGTTTTCACCCAAACCAGGCGTCTCCAAACTGCAATCATTTTACGCATCGACTGTCTGATCTCTTAACATCTTAAAGTTATTTTGCTTTTATTTTAATTTTGAAGTAAACAGAACCACAAATATCTGTTAATGAAAAACCAGACTTCGGCTCACTTTTTCATTAAATGTGTTTAATACCGGAATGTCAATCAGAAACCAAACGACATATTTCCCTTTCCTGAGAACAATTTAGGAAACTGAATGCATGTCTTAAGAAAAACATATTAGAATGTCCCTTTATAGAACAAAAAATCTTTTGTTTCATTAAAATGTACAAAAATATAACAAAGATTAACCTAAATACATTTTAAAATTTAAGTACTTTCAGTTGCTGATTTTGGCTCATATTTGCACAACTCTGAGCTAAACCATCACATTGTGGTTCGCTGTGCGTTTTGGACTGTTGTCCTGCTGGACGGCGAATCTCCACCTGGGTTTCAAACAACCTGCAGCCTCTTCTTGCCGGTTTGCCTTGCATTTCCCATTCCTTTGGTGATTAGAACAGCAGGTGGCTCCACATCTTTCTGTGCTCCGTTTGGGACAGGGCAGGTCGTTTCTTGAAGGTTACGAGAGCCAACTCGGAGGGGAAAGTTCTCCCGGCAGCTCGCTCATATCGACCGAGTCCCCTGCTCTGCTGTAGGACTCGGCGTCTCTTTTTGCCCTTGAAGAGAATAGCGCTGAAGCGAAATCAGTTGAAGTGGAGCACAAGTCTGTTTCTCTCTTTTATGTGTCAAGGAGAGAAGTCCTGTTGCATCCGGTCCTGATTGGCCGAATGAGGTCCCAGTTGCCAGGCAACCATCCAGCGGCCTTGCTGACAGACAGCTGCTAATGAAGCCTGGGTTATAGGTAGAGGGAGCGCGCTGCAGAAAAGGGCAACACAGCCTCTCTTTCTCATGCTTAACACATCCCTGGAACCTGCTGCTGTTCACCTCCACGAGCCGCCACCGAAACACCCACTCCACAAAATCAGTCGTCTCTCACTGGCGTTCCACCTTCTCCCCTGAAACAACCCGCTGATTAATATGTATACAGTAAAACGAGGAGGGATTACAGAAGGCTTCAGAGTAGGGGCTTTGCTTATTTTGGAAATGGAAGTGTAAAGAAACAGATGGCAGCGATGCAACCACGGCAGCCGCGCTGCAAAGCGGTGATGGCTGCGCATGACTCGCACTCGGGTCACACATACAGATCCTGCGCAGTGCGAGCGTCCCACCCGATCTGTCTGGACACACTGAAGGAAAGCCGTGTATCGCTACTCTTCCCCTCATTCTTCCACATTTAACAGTTGGGCTGTTTAAAAGAAAGGTAGAGTGTGGCAATTTTCTACTAAGTCGGGGCAGCTGGAGCATGTAGTCTTCCTGCTCTACATGTTGCTTTCACACATTTTGGAGCTCCCTCATGAAATGGACCATTTATTCGCTCTTAATGTAGCTTCACAATGCCTCTCCGCTGAGCAGTTGAGCAGCTAATGTGCTGCCAGTGGAACAACTCCGCTGAGCTGAGCTGCAGAAGCAACTGGTTGCTCCGCCTGGCTGCGATACTTGCAAAGCAAAGCTTGTATCTCTGTCCAAACTGCACTTCTTTCAAGATTTTAAATATTCAGTGTCACTTTGTACTTTATAAGCACATCATCATCATCAAGTGTTTTAGCTTTTCTAGAAAAAAGCATATAGATAGTTTTGCTGGATTTTATTTAGGGTAATCATAGTAAATGGGGCTGAATAAAAATGCACAACACTTTTGTATGTCAGGTATGAAATTGGCAGCTGCAGTAAAGCTGTACGTTTTAGTATTCAGTCATAGTAATCTGTATATTTTTAAATAACTTATCTAGCTTGTCTTTTATAATAATCACACATTAAAGGACATGTCCTTTTGAAGCTTCAACAAGGGAATTATTAACTTCGGGAGCTGTTTCCTGTTTCACCATTTATCAGACAACATGTAATCTTTGGCCTCAGATTGAGCTTGTTGATACATAAAAAGACTCTGAGGTTATACCTGCAATCAGATGAGGAATTAGGACAACTGTGGCTAAAGAAGCCAAGTTTTAATCAACCACCAAAAGCCCTGCAGGTGACTTGTTCTCACCTATGAACCAACTGAGGAGGAAGACCCTTATCCCGCTTTGCTATGGCAACAACCAATGGAGAAGAAATGTCTGCTTCTGAATGGAAATATGATATGGAAGAAATATTTTGTCCTTCTAAAGTTGGTACATTTCTGAGTAATGTATAATTTTTTATTCAGAAAGACGTTCCAAATTCGGCTGATATACAATTGATTTTTATTTTAGAACCACTACCATCCTGCAGTGTTGTATCATTTCTTCCTGAAGGTGGTTTTCTTTACATTTCCTGGGCCAGCTGCCTAAGCTTTGCTGAGGGGCCAAACAGGCAGAAAGCATTAATAATTTAGAGACATGGTTGCAAGAGCTGAATACTTATAGGATGATTGGAAACTCCCCCTAAAAAATGTCTAAACATACAACAAGTACCAACGCTTGGCTGGTCATTAGGAAGCTAAACTATAGAGAAAGGAGAGACGTGTTATGCTACATCTGTGCAGTAAAGGCTGTAGTTCTAGTTGAAACTGGGTGGCAAAAGAGAGCTTGATAGAAAGCTTTGCTAACAAACACAAAATGTACTCAACAGGATTTCCAGTACATGATTGCACGCGCTGAGCAGCATTCTGATGAAAGGCGTTTTCTAATTGAACCTCTGAAATTGAGTCTCTATTTTTCTAAGGGACAACTGAGAACGGTTTTCAAAGAAGGGTCAAGACATAAATCTTTGAAATAAGCCAAGTGAAAGCATTAGGAAGTGGAAAAAAAATCTAAGGAAAAATACTGAGTAATGACTTAATTACAAAATTCATTACATTAGGAGTGCGACTATCAGAAAATCTGTTTTTAATGAGAATGTGAACCGTTTAGTGAGCTGCTATCAGCAACTTGTTAGTAAACTGCTCACATGCTCACAATAGATGTGGACATTTGGCAAAAAGTGACATGGTCTCTTACTCTCTGCACATGTTTTATATTGAATTTATAAACAGCCCCCAAAAAATGCCACGTTTTTAAGCAGTTCTAAAATGTTTTAAGTGCAACCTATATTACCAAAAAAATATTTAGTTTCAATGCTTAAGCTAATCTAAATAAGCATCTGTTTGAAGGATTCATGTCTTAAATTTTTTTATTTTCTTGTTGCTTTGCACATCAAACCAACAAGAAGATGATAAGATCACAGCTCATCATATGGAAACAAATGAGCTAAAGCTCGACTTCCTTCTCATTAAAACCAGCATAGCAGCAAAGGTCGGCTGTTGCAACAAATGTGACTGACAATCTATCAGCATAAAGCTGCCAGCAGAACAATTCAGTCTCACCAATAAAAAAAAAACATCTAGAGCATAAGAATGAGTGAAAAGACAAATTCAGTCCCAGAGGAAACGATTCAACCAGCTGATCCCACTGAAGAAACCAGAACAAAACATGGTGGTCTTTATCCTGTGCTCAGTCTTCTGTGAGCGTACCATAGAAGAAGATCTAGAGGTTTCTGCTCACCTGTAGATATCCGAGTCCTCGTTTCAATTTTCTTCCCATGCCTTGCTGCCCAATGGTTTATTCATGACTTGCTGCTGTTCTGAGTATCTTCATAGATACCTCTGGAAGAGAATCAATAGAGGTCAAAATATCTTCAATCTAAAATATATTATTTTTCATTCCTGTGTATGACTTAGTTATCAATAAGGTTGAACAAGCATTTTAGCAGTTTTTACAAGGACACAAAATGTGTCCATCCCATAATAACGGAAGAGTTGATTGAACATGAAGTAATTGTTGCGTTTTATTCTATAATCTCCATAACTTTGCTGATCACACAAAGTTGCTGCCTTTTGGCAAACCGACGCTGAAAGTACTGGCAAATTATTGTAAATCATCACAAACAAAAAGCAATTTTTGTTTATGTTATGAGGTTGTATTTCGTTTAAAAAAAAAATTATATAAACAAAAGTAAAGCAGGCCATTTGGTTTAATATTAAATAATGAAATTCCTGTTCACATTTTAAATGTGTTGTGAATATTTTCAGTAATGAGAGCACTGGCAGGACGTTGGTCAGGAAGACAGCATTCAACACTGCCATCGATCTGAAACGGATCAGTGACGGATGGTCGACCGTCACTGATCTGTGTGGTTAAAGGCTGCTCTGAGGAAGGATCTCAGCCGTCTGCAAGGCTGATCTCATTATATTATGGTGGGGAACTGAAACATTTACACTTTCATATTAAAGAGTGTAACAGCATGTTACAATTAGTCAAGTTCCTCTCAACTCACTTACATCTTCATTTACGCAATTTTGACTTGTTTTTTCACCATTTACTTTTTATAGAAATCCAATTGAACCTAATAACTAAAATAACAAAAAGTTTGTGCAGTTATTCTTGAGCAACAAAATCAGCTTTCCTCTAAAACGTCTTAAATCTAGTGTCGTAAACTTGTTCCTAGCACACAGAAACAAGTAGCATGACGTAATGTGCTTAAATAAGGATAAAACATGAATACAAATGTTGCTTCCTCATCCTCCCAAGTCTATCACACATTCACACTTGAGTGTCACCTTCCTTTCACAGATCACTATCCTCCCTTTAGATTACACATCATATATAGAAACAACATTCAAGGACTGACTCACTATTTTCCTGCTGAGCCTTTTTCAAGCTGGAAAGATCTACCAGAGAAATGCTCACACTACAGCAAGTAGTTTATCTTCTAAATCAGAATAAATATATTTTCCTCGACTCTGTTCGTGAGGGGAAAACAAAGAACAACGTCACGTTTGACGTAAAGACCAATTCCTCTCATCCCACTGATCACCTGATATTAATAGCATGTTAGTAAAAAGAAGTGATGATGCCTCTTCTGCAGGGAAACTGATTTCATCTTAATAATGAAACATGTCTGTTTCTGAGCTCACCAAATATGACAGCTTGCAAACTACATCAGAATGTAAATATGCTGTCCACGCATCTGCAATATGATATAGAAGCCACTCAAAATATATATCAAATCTTTATCTTGTACATAGTTTATTCACATGTGGCTTTGTTTAGTTTTTGCCCACAACTCAAGAGTATAAAGTAATTAAATCACTGCTTCATCTCAGGCGTGACATCATTATAATTGCCTGCAAATTGCAAAGGAAGGCTACTCTTGGTTCTTTATGGGCAAGGAATGACTCAAGGGGTCACTTACTGAATTCAACATTAACTGCCCACATGCGTCTTCTCCCTCTGCCCACACTTTCTTCAGGCAAGATCACTTTAAACTGTTCTGATTGCAGGAAAACTTTTATACAGTTCATTCTGCAGAGATCATCAACAGAATAACAGGCAGCCTCACTGTTCAAACAGAAACTGAGGCTGTGAAACTGCTGTTGACCACAGGAGGGGTGAAGACATGAAGGGAGCAAGGTCACCACAGAGGAACAAAAAAATCTGATCAACCTGATAAACTGATTTTCTGCGACATCCACCTTGTTCAATTTTATTTTTTAATAGTAAAATATCAACTAAAATTTGAGAAAAAAAAAAAACAATGCTCTATGAGTTCTCACAGATAATCATCAGCCAGATTAGTCAACAAAATAGGTGATGCCTTCAGAGTCCTGAGGTGAAAAGATCCACCTTATTTCTTAAACCAATGATGCTTTTAAAAGCATAAGCCAACCATAGCTGCACGTTCACCTTTCAAAGATTGGAAAAATGGTATGAAGAAGGATTATTTAAACTAATATTTAGATGCTTCATTAACTCCATTGGTACAGAGGTAAAAAATAATAAAAAACATCACACAATTAAATTAGATATTGATCTGGCATTTTCTGTGCTTTCAAATAGCAGACTGCACATTTATTGTGTATTTGGCTATTTTTAATTGGCAGATTTTTTTGTAGCTTGAGGACATGTCAGGGAAAAAAGGAGATGATGCCATCATACATTTTTGAATTATTACATAAATCATTAAATTTGATGTTTATTTTAATGTACAGTCGTACCTGATCCTCTCTCAGCTGTGCCTTTAATCTGTTTCATCTTGTTTCTTCCCCAGTGGTTGGAAAAATCCCAATCAGGATGTAGAGTTCCTCTGCGGGCTTTTATTGACAAAAAGAAAGAAACAAACATGCACGATTTTAGTTGTTGCTTCAATTACAACCTTAACTTTCTTAAAACAAAACGGCTACAAGAGTATGGCAACTCATACTAGCATGTTCTAATAAATTATTTATAGTGATATAAATGCCCTTACGTTCACAAAATCCTTAGGTAGCATTGCTCAACCTACATTTTATGGTTAATTTTGTATGTTTCATGTTTTTTTTCCCATGTAGAAAAATGACCAGAATTAAAATGAAAAGCATAAATAATTGAAAAACTTAGACATTTGTCTCAACTCCTTCTCTTTTGAAAACTGATGGAAAATACTCCACTGATTGCAGGAATAATCTAGATGCATGTTTAACACACACCGGTTACTACAGCTCAAACTTCAGCTTTAGTCTGATTATAGGTACAGCAGCAGCACTGCTCATCTTCTACATCAACCAGTCAGCAAAGATCATTTCCAAGGAAATGTTTCTGATCACATTTCACTTAAAGGAGACTCTAGACAGAACTAGAACTTGCTCTAGTGTCTCCATGTTGGGTCCCTCCACTCAATGTTCCACAGTCTTTTTTGGAAAACCATTAAAAGGAAAATAACAAGCTGTTAAATTAACACACTGAACACCAGGTGGGTTTCAGCACATGAAATTAAATCAAATCTGTCAAGTTACTACACACACTCACATTTTTACAATGGACAGTCCAGGTACCCGGTGGGCAGGGAGATGCTGTATCCTAGCAACTGCATTTTTTTCCACAGATTTTTGCCAGCCAGGGTTTTGTGGAGTAGAGTAACTTGGCACAGCATGGCGATGGATTTATGAACTAACATAAAACAGAGATTAATTTCACCCGTGTGTGTGTTTGTGTGTGGGGAAGTATGTGTGTATAGTTAGGTGGGTATCAATCGAGTGATTTTGAAAGGCATAATAAGATCAGCGTTAGACCTCCCAAGCACAACAATTGGCAACAGAAACACTGGACAAAGTAATTTGGAATGACTTATGTCTCACTTCTTGAGAGAAAATGGTGTCACTGACTACATCATAGCCCTGACAAATTAATGCAGAGCAGAGAAGAAAAGCACTTCATCATGGGGGACATAAATTCCCGAGCTGGACAGATTTACATTGATTGAGCATACAGAGACGAGCAGAGCACGCCCCTTTAGGTAATAAAGTGCCACAGTCAATCACCCATCAGACTCTCGGTGCAGCTGCATTCCTGCCATCTCGGCCTATCCAGCAGGTTCCTCAACAAGCTGTCCACTGATGAGTTGGCCTATGCAAGATGAGAGGAATACAAAGCCTGGAGGGGAATGGATGTGAGGATGGAGGGCTGAGGTTGGGAATATTGATCTGCGTTTGAGGAAGACAGGATGCAGAAATACACAACCAATGACTTTGATGAGGTTCAGTTATAAAACACCATTTGAATCTCATAGAAGAGCTCGATATGTTCTCAACATCCTCTTTTTATTCTAATATCAATACAGCAAGTGAGAGAGTGCTCATAATGATGCTAAATAGCAGCTATTGAAAATAACTTTTAGGTTTTCAATCTAAAGATGATGGTTTGTGTTCTGGCTAGAGAAAGTTGCTGCTTGACTTGTAGTTTCATGTCATTATTTTTGCTGAATTTAGATTACAGCAATATTTGTTTTAAACTAGTAGACAGTTTTTCTACATGTGACCCAAGTAGAAATCCAAAATGAGTCAGTCCAACTCGGCACATGCAGCTAATACAGCAAAAATTTAATTAAAATTTTTGATTTTAGTTGGAAGGATAAAGATTCTATTTTTGTTCCTTTTACAAACAGATTCAACAAAATGTTCACATTCACACACTGAAAAGAAATGGAAGAGGGACAAATTGAATCTTTTTATGACATTCAGAGAAAAAAAACATAATAGCACATAGTTTTGAAAATCAAAAACATGTTTTTTCTGCAGGTTTTCACACAGAAAAGACTCGTCCACAGACAACATAGACTGCAATAATAACACATTTTTTTCAACTTTAAAGCGTCAAGGATTTGAAGTTGGAGCTTAAAATCTAAAAACATTCTTGCCCAGTTCAGTTCATAATGTAAGAACAACAAATTGCAGAACATTAAACTTCCATGTTTAATTGTTAAAAGGCAGGATAGATAAGGGGGTAGAACCCAGCATAATGCCTTAACCCATGTACAGTTAATTTAGAATATATATAGTAAATCCCCAGAATGGGTAACTAGATTGTTTCCACCAATTTCAGCTTCACAAAAAATAAAAGCATGAACTTTGGATTTCTTGGTTTCCTAACCTTTACCTTTACCTTCCCTCTCTAAACACACTGCTTACGCTTTGAGCCAGTTTTAATGACTATGTTGCAGCTCCCCACATTTTATTACAATGTAGGTTAATACATTACCATTACTGCTTCCCTTAGACTAAATCAATTATCTGGTGAATGTGCCATTTATTGTGCTGCAATGAAATAGTCACTGTGGGTTCATAGTTGCTTTTAAAATGCTCTTGTAGAGTAATTAAGTAGTCTTATGAGAAATACTTTAAAGACTGACAACATTTAGTAAAAGCAGTAAAGTGCAACTAGACCCATCTTTACTCATGTTGTATATTTGACGTAACAGTTTCTTAATAAGTTGTTAAAGAAGCCAAATGAATCGTCAATTTCTAACAACATAAACATGTAATTTGGGGACAGCCAAACATTCACAAAATACATTTACATTACTTATTTTTTTTAATATGGAGCCCAAGACCAAATAAGGAAAAAATACCCTCAAATACATAAATTTGGCTCAGTTTTGTTTCGACATTTAGGTCAGATGAAGACCAAACTGCAGCGAGGCAATTTTGATTTTAATTTGATAAAACAAAACTTACCAGTGTGAGTTAAAGCGCAGCAGCAACAAATCCACAGAAAACTCAGAACCATGGGTGATTATTACATCGGCAAGTTCTGGAGATGCTTGAAGTAAGAGGCAGGGCCTGACAAGGGAACGAACAGAGAGGCTGGGAACGTTAATTACTGGAATGCAAAACAGGTAGATGATTACTAATGGACCGCAGCTGTGGGGGAAATGGGAAGCTACAGAACCAAGAAGACTGGGTTCTGACAGACAGTCAATAGCTGTGTTTCTATTGCAAATGTGCACAAAACTTTGCTAATATTCCGCTAATCTAAAAAAAATGTTATAATAAATAGGAGACGCGATTAAAAACAGCCGTGAATAGGTTTGTTCGCTGATAAGTCATTAAAAGCATGCAGCGCCAAGACCCTCCAACTACTTCCTGTTGTCTTCTTCTTCGTGGTTTGCGCTAAGGCAACATCCGGTTGTTGATCATGTGACTTGTATGACGTGAAAAAAGTGTTTCCGTTGTAGTTTTGCTAAATAGATACGGCTAGAAACATCATTTCGTCCTAGAGCAAAAACTTTTTTTTAATCAAAAAAGCAAGAGTATTTCGAAAATGGCGTGTTTCCATAAAGCGAATTTATTCTTGGAACGTCAAATTGCGCAGGTATATGGTCCATTGAAATGCAGGATTAATAAATAAGAAAGTACAGTTTCTAGTAAATGTAAAAGTCCAAATGAAAAGAAGGCTGTATTTTTTTAATCTGTTTTATAGTAAGTTGACCACACGTAGATGTTCCAAAGCGCTTTAATGAAGAGGCTTTTAGGGTTTTGTATATTTGCAGGTGTGGTGGCATGACAGAAGCCTTAAAGCACACACTGAGAAGAGTGGCTGCTTAAAGTATCCTTTTAATTGTGAAATATTTTGATGATTTTTTATTATTATTATTTATAACACGGCATCCTCACTCATTTCACTCACTCATGGTGTCTGTATTGTTCCTGTGATGTGCCCTGCCTCTCGCCTGTTGAATGCTAGGGTTGGCTCCACCGATATATCAGTATATGAATGATCCTCAACAGCTGTCAGTGTCATACTATAGTGTCTTGACTGATTAAACAGGCTGATGGTTGCTCAAAACAGAGCAAACACTGAGACAAGTAAATGCATAATTGATGGTGGATGTTCCATGGAAATAATTGCAGATTGTGAAGGTGATTAATTGCTGTTTGTACTCATTATGTTTGATGTACACTGATTGCAGTCCACTCCAGTTACATTCTGGAGATTGTTGCTTAATCAGTGACTCAAAGATACTGCTTCATGGAGAAATGTTGCAAAAACCTCTATTATGTTCACAGCAGTAAATAATCACTGGTATAATCACAATCCAATAATTGTTGGTGATTGCATATGTTTTTCTACAATGTATAATGTAATGCACATGGGAAGATTCAGAGACCTGTTAAAAATGATCTTACACAGCTGAAGCCTTAGTGAGGTTTTATCACAGTATATCTAGAAAAAATATCATATCACTGCTAGTTTTAGCAGCAGTATTAACAAACTGACTATTTTAACCCTCTATAAAGTTTTATTCTCTTTAAAGTAACAAGAGTTATAGTTTAACTCAAATTAGGTCTCCCTTAAACTTGCTTCAGATAGACAGTTTTTAAATAATTGAATGTCTAAGGCTCTATAGATCCAGAATGTGTCTGTATGCCCTAGAATAAGTAAGAAATAAACGGAGAGAAAAAAATTCAGAGCAGCAGACATTGTCTTCTGGGAGATCCTGAGTCAGACTGGCATGACGCATTGCTCTCCCCTCCATGCCCGCTTTCTTTTAAAGCAGGAGTTTTTTGTGTCTTGGCTTCCAGACAGTAGGGTCTGTATCAGCAAGCTGCAGAGCCAGGATTGTTTATTTACACTTCAAATAGTCTGAATACCTCAAATCCCAAAGGCTTGGAGATCCTCCATGTCAAGAAAAACCCCATGGCATCGCAGTTGCATTTGGCCTCTTCCACATTCCTATGAATGGATGTCTTCCTGTCAGGAGCAGACATGTAATCTGAGAATGGGCCGTAAGACACTCAATCAAACTGCATGCTTGAGCACTCTGCCGTAACCTGTCGATTGGGTTTATCCATGTAGCATCAACCACCACTATCCATCAAGTGTAGTGCACCGGATTTGCATCTAATGTAATGATCTTGCTGGAACTGACTGCACGAGTCATGGTTGAACGGCTCTGTGGGTTGGAGTGTGTGTGTATATGTGTGTGTGGTTTATTTCTCAGGTGGGTCAGAGTCAGTGGTAAAGGTTACTAAGGTCAGATCTGATCTAAACACAACTGAAAAGTTATTTATTGTGAACCCTGACAGCTCTTATTTATTTTCAAACAAGAAAAAAGTGAGGATGTGATTCTTCAGTATTATAAATATTGATATATACTGAACAGACTGCTGCTAAAGATTGTTCCATCAACAGTTATAGGCTGGCTAAAGTCAAATTTGGATGACTTTAGCATGGAATACATTTGCTAGGATTATATAATGAATTCTAATGAGCAATTGGTGTGAAAACAAATCTCTCTAGTTTCATTTGAATCTTGATTTTAGTAGTTCAATCACCAAAAATACAATTAATATGCATTAATACACATGAAGGAATACACACAGTTGAATATTTTAGATATGTTCTATGATAAAAAATATGAATATTTTGGAGTTCAGTTCCACAAAAGAATTCAGTACAGAATGTGAATCTGCAAATAATGGAGTGCGAATAGCTGTAAATAGTTTAAAATCGTATCAGGGTAAAAAGAAAAGATAAAAGTAGCATCTGAATGCATATTTAAACTCAAGATGCAGATGGAGTGCCTTATCTTCTACCAGTAACATCTTTTACTGATCATAATCTACTGCAAGAATCCATTTTTAAAGTATAAAGAGTTACTGCTTTGAGCTTTGAGGATCTGTATTGGGAAAGGCTAATGGGGTCTCCACACATTTTTCACGTTAAGACACCATACTTTTCCAGACTGAAGTTTCAAGTGATCTCAACAAAAGTTTAAGTACAAAATCTCATCATCCTTCTACTGGACCAAATGAAGCCTCCATATCAAATTTAAGACCCTTTCCAGTCTCCATAGGAGCCTTTATGTAAATTATTCGATTCCTTTGCAGCATCTAAATACGTCAAGCAAATCGAGTGAGTGTTAACTAAACCTGTAAGTTAATTTGTAATCCCTTTTAGATACTCTTTGTGTTTTCTTGTCTATTTAAAATTCAAATGATCCGTCTTATCTTCCCCAACTTGTTCCCACCTTGGTCTGCGCGCTACCTGATGTGTGTATTTTGAGTAAACATGCATTTGTTTATGCGTGGATATTACACCCTTATGTGGTATATGTGCGCATCTGTGTGTGAAGGTTAATTAATTCCCAGGACAGCAGCACACACACATAAACAGGCCTTTCATGATAATAGGTTTGTAAATGGGGGATTCAAGCTGCCAGATCTTGTACCGCGCATGCAAAGACCTCAGCTGGTTGCCAAGGGCGATGTTTCTATGACGGCTGCGTGGAGTATGACTTTCCTCTCCTTGTTTACCGTGAGGGAGGAGACCATTAAGAATAATCAACTCTGTTTGAAGGGAAATTCTGAATCAAAACACTAAATAAAAAAAAATATATATTAAATTTATCAAAATCAGTTTTATCGTGGTATTGTTTCTGTTCTTTTTAAAATATTTCTCTAGCTTAGTTTTTATTCTTTTACATCTTCATGCGAATGCCTCATGGGAAATACTATTTCATTCACTTTTTGTTATGTTTTGAGCTTATGGCTCTTTGCAAAGGTTAAGACTGGTTTGGCCTTGACACGCCAAGACATCTGAAGAAACACAAAGTGAAGATGGATTTTCATTCCCTTTGTGGGATGTCTGCTTGTTTCAAAGTAAAAAAAAAAAGAGGCTAAACTGAGAGCTGTCCTGGGATTTCACACTGAGATACCAAATATGTCACCAGACTTCATGGTCACCGAACTACAGCTTTTACTGACTCACTGTTTCCAAATAAGTGCTACAATGCAAAATATGTCAGCTAGTAACAGAAGATGCATAATATATTTATATGTATGATAGAAAGATATCCAATTTTGAACATAGCAACAGCTCTTAGATGAGACTTTAGCGCCATCTGCTGGTCAAAGAGAGAAAGAGTAACAGTGATTTGACTGAACTAGGAGAGTTTCTCATCAAAAAATTCTTTAAAGATGCAAAACAATAGGTGACTAAATCATTTTGAATTCTCATTTTATAGTACCTTAAAAAATATATCATTAAATAAAAACAAATGCTGTCTTGTTTTATCTTGCTCTGCCAGAGCAAGGAGTTGAAAATGGCAAACGTGCAGGAACATGGACCAAAAAAAAAAAAAACTAATTTGCATTTTGCATGTAACCCAATAGGTTCAACTTTGGTCTTGACTTTGTTACATGACTTTCTCAAATGTCAAATAAGACTTTTTATTTATTCTTCAAACTCATGGCTGTTGGTTGCACTGGATTTTATTTAGGAGTATTAACATTACAGGGGGCTAACCTACTTCTATTAGCAAAATATCTGACATTATACTTGAAGACTTATACGTTTCAAATAAAAGGTCAGAAAACTCCCTTTGTCGGGATCAGTACTTTGTTTTATATCACTTTGAATTCAATAAAAAGGCTAAGATTTGTATCCCACCATGACATTATGTCTTCTTTTTCACTCTTGTTGCTTTATTGTTCAAATAGCAGATGTAGCGTTCCCTCCTCTGAAGGAGCCTCTGGGTTCATACTGTGCAGGAATTTTAACAAGCGGGCCTCCTGTTGATGAGACGAAGCTGACAGCGTTCAATCGAGTGAAAAGAGGCAAAAGCAAGTTAATCAAGTGGCTTCTGTCTGTTTTTTGTTTATCAGCTGAGCTGTTCTGAGGCCTCCACATGAAATCTGCATCCTATTTTTAGAGTTTGTCAGGGGAAAAAAAGTGTCTCCTGCTATTTGTGCAGTTGCTTCCACGCCTTTTTTTCTCAGAGTCCAAAAGCCCACACACACACACACACACGCACGCACACACACGCACGCGCACACACACACACACACACACGTTAACGCATATTTACCCAGACAAACATTACTATACAGGAAAGTGTCAAGCACTTGAACTGCTTTAAATCGTTCCTGGAGCTCGGAAGAGTGCTGGCTTTGTTTTCTGCACCCTGGGCGGGTGAACCAAGAACCAATGAGGGGAGAACGAGGGGGGTAGGCGGGGGGAGAGTGGGAAAAGTTCTGGCCTACGCGGTGTTCTCCCACTACAGTTTCACTCGGTGACCTACAGACACACACACAAAAATGGAGAGGACACAGATAAAGAAGGAGCAAGATAAGGGGAAGATGGAGGAGGAGGCGGTGCGCCTTCGGAGGGAGATTGGGCTGCTGCCTGCTGTGTCCTTCATCATCGGGACGGTGGTTGGCAGTGGGATCTTTATCGCTCCGAAGGGAGTGTTGATGAACAGTGGCAGCGTGGGGCTGTCTCTGCTGGTGTGGGCGCTCTGTGGCATCCTGTCCCTGTTTGGTAAGACCAGGCTAGTTTTCCCTGCTTCTTCTACATCTGTAATAATATACCTATAAGGAAAATATTGCATGAGAGTTAAGATGTATTGCATTATTTTTTTTGTATCCGATATTGCAGGCCGAATAATATCTAATGTCATGTTGTCCTGCTTGTCCTTTGCACTAGTAATCTAGTCATATGAAATTTTGAAGGAGCTGAATTAATCTGCAGTTTATGTTTTCAGTGGGACAAAAGTCATTTATAGCAGGGAAACAAGTAGCAAAGCAAAATATTTTCAAAAATATCTACAATATTCAAGTCGAGTTTATTTGTATAGAACATTTCAGCAACAAGGCAGTTTAAATGCTTTACATCACAAAAAAAAAAAACAGTTATGAAACTATAACAATCAATATAGCATTTTTTTTCAACCACTAACAGTGGGTTTTAAGCACTGATTTAAAGGAACTCAGTGTTTCAGCTGTTGTACAGTTTTCTGGAGGTTTGTTCCAGACATAAGATAGAAGCTGAATGCAGCTTCTCCATGTTTGGTTCTGGGACCCAGAGCAGAGCAGAACCAGAAGGCTTGAGTTAAAGATCAGCAGATTTACAAACTAACAAAACAAATACTTTTTGGTTAATTTATTGACTTGGGTTCTTTGTCACTGACGTCTAAACTAGATCAACAAAAAGAAGTATTTTGAAATCTGTTCTTTCTGGAAAAAACATGAAAAGATTAAATGAACTGCAAGTAAATAAAAGTCTTCCTTTTCCTGTTTCCTCTCAGGGGCCTTGTGTTATGCTGAACTAGGAACCACTTTCACAAAATCCGGGGGTCACTACACTTATCTCCTAGAGACTCTGGGGCCCCTGCCGGCCTTCTTAAGACTCTGGGTTGAGTTCCTCTTTATAAGGTATAAGGTTTTTGTTGTTGAAGAAAAATCAGAATAACAGACACTTTTAAAGTACAAATACTCCTTTTTTTTTTCCAGACCAGCTGTGGCGTCCTACGTCTCTCTGGCTTTTGGACGTTACGTTGTTGAACCTTTATTTGCACCTTGTCCTGCTCCTTCAGCGCTAATCAAACTCGTCAGTATCCTCGGAGTGAGTGAGTGGTATTCCACGCCTTCTTGTCCACTTTATATTTGGATCAGTGTTTCCCATCCAGCAGAGACGTAATGTGTGATCTGTGTCTCTGTAGCATTTGTTGTTGCAGTTAACTGCTGGAGCGTCAGCATGGCCTCGCGGACTCAGGTCACCTTGACCTTCATTAAGATGTTTGCGCTGGTACTCATAATTATTCCTGGGGTCATAGCTCTAGCGAAAGGTACGATGACGGAAGCAATAATACTGAGTAAGATGGCGTTCCTGGGAACATTTGAACTTTTCAACGGCTCTTTCCAGGAAAGACAGAAAATTTCCAGAATGGATTTGAGTTGGAGTCCATAACTCTGGACAGGCTGCCACTGGCTTTCTATAACGGTTTATATGCATATGGTGGATGGTAAGTCAGCACAGTTTATATTTTGACAAGTTATTATATACAAATGTTAACGTTTGATTGGGATTTTACGGGTTGGACTGACAGAAAGTAGCACATAGCTGTGATGTGTTTCTTTCAGGATTGCTCTGCATTTTCTCCATCTGTTTTCCTATTAACCCTGTATTTACTCTCCCTGATGAAACCCCCCCACAAACTTTCCCACAGCATGATACTGCCAACACTATGTTTCAAGCTGCAGTGAGTGTGTTGAGGGTTTTGCTCTAGTTTGATCGAAGCAATGTCTTCCACATGTTTGCTGTATGGCCTGTGAGAAAACATGGGTGGGTTTCTCCCAGCAATTGTTTTCTTCTTGTCACTTTAAAGGCCAGATTTATGTGGTACACTCATAATGGTAGTAGTTTTTCTTTAGGGGTATCAGAGTAAAGTTCAGTTTCTCCTTCTTCTCCTAGGTTTTATCTGAACTTTGTCACAGAAGAAGTAATAAATCCAAATAGGTATTTTGCACATTTGCCTCAGATTGAGATCATTCTTTTGAGAGACTTGAAAAGTGAACGTTCACATGTCCTGTGTGAACCATATGCTTCCAGAAACATCCCTTTGGCAATAATCTGCTCCATGGTGACGGTGACGGTGTTTTACGTGCTTGTAAACGTGGCCTACTACACCGTGATGACGCCCGCTGAGCTGCTGCTGTCTGACGCAGTGGCTGTGGTCAGCAAAGAGCAAAATGTTCCACTGACGAAGAATGTAGAGGGAACGTGTTGGCACAGCTGTGTTCTGACGTGACGTGTGTTTGCCTGCAGACGTTTGCGAACCGTGCTCTGCAGGGCCTGGCCTCAGTGATTCCCATTCTGGTCGCTCTCTCTTGCCTTGGAGCTCTCAATGGCGGCTTCTTCGGGTCGCCCAGGTATTATGAGAGCAGAAGCTGGCTGTTCTTAATGTTTTCTGTGCAGTTCTGGACCTATGAGATTTGCGGTTGCAGGATGCTGTTTGTGGGCGCCAGAGAAGGCCACTGGCCACCGATCTTTTCCATGATTCATGTCCGACAACGCACACCGTTACCTGCTGTGCTCCTCCTGGTCAGTACTGTCCAAAGACTTCGAATCAAACAAAACTGTTCCACCGTAACAGATGATGAACAACAACAGCCCATAATCATTCTTCTATTTCTTGTACTCTGCAAAAGTCTTGTTATATTTTGGTGTGGAGCTTTTAGAATGAATCTCATTTTAATTTATTAATCGTCATCAGCCAATATGCAAACAATGTGACATTTATTTTCTCGTGACATTCGATTGATTTTTTCTCATTGTTACCAGTGACACGGTTTTTTACTTACTTCCTGTTGTTTTGCAGCACTTTGCTCCAATTAACATGCTTTACAATGTAAGCTCACCTTGAGTTCCTCCAGTTGTAAAAGTCCTTCTCTTCCAAATACTAAAGTGTCTCTGATTTGGAATTTTTATTAGTTCATTCTGGATCTGCTGAAACAAAAAGGGTATTTTTTTCAAATAAATACAACTTTTTTTAGTTTGCATTAGTATGCATTCTTCATTGCACCGTCTGCACACCCTGGACAGAGTACTTAGAACTAAATCCCCATTGGATTTTGTGGGCTTGTCTTGGTCTGGCAGCTTTATCCTCCTATCAACACACAGCCACAGTCAGCTTTACAATCTCCCTGTAGAAGATCTCTGATCTACCTTCTCTAAAAACAATGTTAGTGTCTCAGCTCCTAAGAACATGTGAAAGGTCTGGAAAGAAGAAGCGACTCCCAGGGAGCTGTAGAAAGCTGGGTTGCTGACAGTATTTGTGTGTTGGCCGCTGTAGCAGCATGCGATTAAAGCTGCATTGTGTCTCTCCAGTATCCATTGGTGGTGGTGATGTTAATCACTGGGGAAATCTACCAGCTCATCAACTTTGCCTCCTTTTCACGCTGGTTCTTCATCGCCCTGGCAACCTTGGGCATGCTCGTCCATCGATACCGCTTCCCCCACCACCCAAGACCCTTCAAGGTTAGTGTGTTTTCCTGAGTCTTTCAGCATTTTTTTTCCTTTCACAATACAGAAATCTGATCATCTATCCTGCCTGCTCACCCACCTTAAGGTCCCTTTGGTCATTGCGGTCATCTTCACAGTGGTTTGCTTCTTCATTGTGGGTCTCTCGCTTTATTCGGACCCCTGGAACACGGGGCGGAGCTGTGCCCTCACTCTAACAGGAGTTCCAGTTTACTTCGTGACTGTCCATCGCTTTCGGGTGCCACATAGATTAACGCACACTTTCAGTAAGTCGTGCCATTTGTAGGTCACAGTGACTCAACTTTGAATTTATGTGACTTGAAATAAGAATGTTCAGCATGTCAGAGTTTAATAGGAAAGATCTGACTGGTGCATACGTCTCGTTTTCCCAGATTATTGCAGCAAGCAGCTGCAGATCCTACTGGAAGTGGCTCAACAAGAAGTCCAGACATACTGAAGACAGTTAAGACATTTAAGTTTCCACTGACAATCTTTGTGAATTACACCTTTCTTAGAGAGTCCAAACTAACTAACTAAAATACTTCTTTTTGTACAAGAAAACATTAAAAAGAATATTTGTAACAGATGTATATGCATTTGTCTGCTGATTTACCAAGAACATTGAAAAAAGCATCAACAACCCCTACGACGTCTTAAAAAAATGTTCATGCTGAAATCAAAAATTTGCAAATTTTTACAAGCAAGGTAAGCCAAACAAAAACCTTTGCTGACCTTAGAATTAGTAATAAAACACATGGAGTAGCTTTTTAAAAAACATCTTGCCCAAGATGGCAAGATTTTTTTTTTTTTTTTACAGTTCTACAACATGTAATAAAGCTTATGTTACACAAAGAGTTGAATTTAAAACAAAGGTCACCCATCCACACCTTGTAAATGTCGTGTTGTAAAGACCACCCGGTTACAGTGATGAAATTAAATGGAAAAATCCTTCAACTTGATGAGGATCTAAGGAATTTATTGTAGTCTTACTTCAGAAAACAACCTCTCTTCATAAACAGATGGATTCATAGTGCTGAGATTAAAAAGCTGAGACAACTCAAGGACCTGTTCTTAAAAACACACATTATTCAGTGGTACAGAAATAGGTCACGCCTCAACCTCAAAGATGATACTGCAAATAGTCTTTCTTACTGAAGACACATACTAAATATTCTGTATTTTCTGCCTTAAGAGATAAGTTCACAAAAATTCCTATGTTCAGATAAAATGCCCTTCAGTTGACAACGGCACATCCAATAATTACAGTGAAGATTTCTGACAACAGTTCTACAATCAGACAATCCTATTGCTGTTAGTGCTACTTGTAATACTTTTGTTTTTTTTTATTGCTGGTAAGACTTTGGAACCCAACAACAGAGTTTACCAAGTGATCAAATAATCTATTGTACAACTGCAAGTCATATATTATAATGTGCAAATCAACATATGTATACACTTAAATATTTCTCTTCTCATGCAGCTCCTGTAAGTGACAGCGATGCAGAGCGGCTAAAAGGCAATACAAAAGAGCAGGGCCACACGCAAGAGAAGAATCTGACACACAGAACAGTAAAAAGCAAGTGCAAACATGAGAAAGTTACAAAAAAATAAAAAATAACAGGCAAATACAAAGTGGAAGATGAATGAGTGCAGTCTCTTTGCCAATTAAAGCACCACGTGAGACCTTGGTGAAGCCTTCTGAATACCCTGCTTTGTTATTTGTACTGGAGTGAAATTAATAAATTATATTCAGACAGAAATCAAACTAACCACAAACTGAGATTGATCACACACCTCCAGCAATAACCATCAAAAACACACAACAGGTGGATCATGAGCAGATGAGAAATACGTCTGTTTTGCTGAGTCGGTGCGTGTGTGCTTTAGTGTTCAACAACGGATTTCTAGCGTTTTGGCCTTCGGGCTACATGAACTGACCGAGGAACTCGGACAGGCTGATGTTGGCGATGCCCAGGTCTTCGTCGTCCAGCGCGGAGAAGCTGATGTCCACCAGAATCTTGCTCAGGCTGTCATTCATGGTGTCCAGGATGAGGCCCTCCGTGATGGAGCGGTTGGACGGCGAAGCGGCGGGCGCGTCCGCCAGCTGCGTCTCGGTGGGGGAATCCGTAGGCGGGGCTCTGCAGGGGGCCGGGGTGAGCAGCTCCCGGGGGGAGCTGAACAGCGGCAGCTCCTTGAAGGGAGTGCTGTTGAAGCTGAAGGTGGTGTACTCCTGTCGGGGCGTGACAACGGGACCGCCCGGCGTGCGGATAGGACTGAAGTCCAGGACGCTTTGGCCGTCTTTGCCGACGGGCGTCACCTTCCAGGGTTCAAGTGTGACGTTGGGCGGTGGCTTGCTCGGCGTGGAGGAGCTCAAGTGGCTGTGACTCTTTATGGGCGTCTTGAAGTAGAGTTCCCGCTCGGGGCTGCCCTGGAAGTGCTGCTGCTGCTCGGTGCTGTTTGCTTCTCTCACGTCCTGGGAGGTGGACACGTCCGAGGCGACGCCAGAGTCAAAGAAGCTGTTGTCGGGGCAGAGGAGGATGGGCTCGTCCTGCAGAGAGTTCACCAGGCTCTGCTTACGGCGGGAGCTGCTGGACTGCCTCTTCGGAGGAGGTTTACGTGTCTCACGTTTTGTCGGAACATTTACAGGTTCCACCTTCAGGTCGACCTGAGGAGCCAGAGCCACGGCTGGACTGTCGCCCTCCGTCACCTGGGAGACGACAAGAACAGTAAAAAATCCCTAACTTTCCACGTGGAAATAAGATATATCATATTTTTTATGTAGAAGACGTTTCAACTACAGTTCACTGCGAGTGTAAGGGAAAAAAGGAAGGAATTAAGGAAAATCCAGATGAAAATATTCAAATAAAAGGTAATTTTTTAAAGATATATTCTATCATTTGTATTTTTTAAGGAAAAAAGCAAAGAAAAAAAAAACGATTACTGAAAATCGGAGGTCAAATTTTGCATTAAAAACCTGAAATGTTATTTTTAAGTCATATGGTCCAGCATCTATGTACAGCATGACTCGAGGTAGCTCCACCTGACCGAATGTGTACCTTGGGGGCAATGCGGACTCTCTTGGTCCCGCGTGAAGCATTTTGTTTGTGCTTGGAGCCAGATGGGCAATAAGAACCAGACAAGGACGGCAGATAAGCAGAGGAGGCAATGGGCAGCTGGATAGGAACCAAGTAAGAGTCTTTGCGGGGCAGCAGCGGTTTCATCCTCCTCTCTGGAAACAAGCAAACAGAAAAACACTCTAAGAAACATACAGTTACACTACGAAACAAACATTTCTGTAAAGTTGTGCTGAACTCACCAGTAGAAGCTGGTGCTTTTCTTACGGCAGATATATTCTTCTTTTCATGCTGGGAAAGCAACACAGAGATTCACTTTAGACAATACAGCTTTAGTTTGACAGAGAAACTCAACATTTTGATCGGTGCGTGCAGCGCCTCACAAAAGCTTTAAGGTCTCTTGAACTTTTTCAGTTTGTCACATCACAACTACAGATGACTATGAAATGTATTAGAATTTTTTTGTGTGATAGATGGACAAAATAGTGCAGTGGCTTTACAAACAAAAATCTGAAAAGTGTGGCATGCATTTCTTTACTGAGCGGCCAGCGTGCACAATTCAGTCTGTGAAGGGAGCTGGATTTTAAAAGGGCTTCTTACAAATGCATGCCACACTTTTCAGAGATTTATTGGTAATAAATGTTGAAAACCAACTGCCCTTCACCATGTTTATTAAACAGTACTTCATTTTGGTCTAGTAGGACAATAAAGTATAGAGGTATGTCATTGTAACAAGACAAAACATGAAGTGTTCACATGATTTCAGTTTTTCTTCTACCTATAAAACAAGATCTCAGTTGTTCAGCTGCAGCTATACTTTAAATCTAAAAACACAAGTTGTTAATCAGGTCTCAGAAGATATTAAACATTTGACTTTCCATGCTGTTTAGCCCTCTGCTGCCTATCTGTGGGATGAAAATAGTTCTTCAACAAGAGGTGAATCAGTCTTACTTGGTGGGGACACGGAAGCAACGACACAGGAGAAGAAACGGTCCCCGGATCGCAACAAGGCTACAGAAAGAACAGAAACTCAACGAATCAGACAGCCGTTGCATTAGGAAAACAGAGAGGACTATGAGGAAAGAAGAAAAAAGGCAATGGAAGAAGAGCAAAAACAGCTTTATGTATTTAATAAAAGCAACATGTGGGTGAAAGTAGCGATGCTCACCCTGTAAACCTGATCAAGGGTCAGGCATCGATTGATATCTGGTCGAATTGTCCAGAAAGAGGTTTTACCATCTGGCGACCGCTCGCGGATGAACATGTCGTGCAGAGAAAGATTGTGGCGGATTGAATTCTGCAAAGGAACAAAACTAGTGAACTCCCTCATGGTGTTGCTTTGAGATCCATTTTAATTTCCTCCGTTAGTTTTCTGAACCACCTTCCATCCTGGTTTGGCCACTTCTCGGTAATAAGGGAAATGGTCCTCGATCCATGTGTAAATTTCTTTCAGCGTCATGCCTCTGTTCTTCCTGCTGTTGATGGCGAACTGGATCATGGCCGTGTAGGAGTACGGCGGTCTCTGTAACGTGGGCTGATGGGAACCTTCTGGGTTGGAATTTGTACTGTGGGTCTGAAAGAATGCAAAGAGAGTGATAGACAGTCCCAATAACTGCTGAAGGATAACAGTACCAGACTTAAACATGTAAATTTGAGTCCATTTTTTGCCATGTTGTTAAGACTTTAATAAAAACTTTGATTGTTGTTGCCAAGTTTTAAAATGAACATGTTATGCTAAAAAACCAGAATGTAAAAAGGATGAAATTCAGAATGCAATCCCTCCCACCCTCAAAAAAATGTTGCTTATCTTTTTGGTAAAAGGACCAGATCACTAGTTTAAGATGCTCGTCTGTGCAGGATTTTCCTTTTGCAAATCTATATTTCCATTTACTGAAGATACTTAGCAGCTAATTTGTGAGCTTGAACCTCTCAGCCACTAAAAATACACTCATATACTTCCAGACTGTTTTCTGTGATAACAATATTGCGTTCACTGTTGTCAGATTGATGTTTGCAATTTGGTATGTTGTGCAGCTCTAATGAAATGCAACTAAAATCAAAATCTAAAATGAATTTCAAATCAAACACCATAATCTGGATCTTGATCCTGAAGTCATAGTTATAAGTCATAGTCAAAATATTTTAATTACACAGATGTGTTGCTTTTGCAAGTTTCTAAAAATGTGAGACTTTTTGAAGTCTTTTAAAGATCAATATGAATAAAAATAAACTTATAAACTTAGTTGAAAACCTTAGCAAGTCAAAGATAATCACATTTGTGTTTTTTGGCATTTGATTTGTGTGCTTTTACATCTGGGTTTCCTAACAATTGCTCTGTTTGCACTTCAACAGTGAAAAAGTAAATAACAGAAACAAGGCTGACCTGTAAAATCTGTGGTGCCTGAAGCTTCTTCTCCTTGTCAGTTGTCTGATTTGCAAGCTGTGGCTCCAAAGCACTGGTATTCATTTTTCCCAGCCACTGGATATTGGTGAGGCTGTCATCTAGAGGACTGCAACTTGCACCTATGTTCATTGATGCGTAAAAGAGAGAGAACAGTTTAATCACAGCTTAAAATGGAATATTAATGGGGGGTAAAAAAAAAAACCTATCGATGAGGGTGAAGCTACAGCTCTTAATTCATACATACTTGACTGATTTCCAGTGAGAGGTTTAGCATCTGGCATATTGTGGATAGTATCTGACTTCACTGGTTGTGCAGCAGTACTTCCTGCAGGAGATGACTCCTCTTTGACAGCAGCCTGGCAGAAAGATCCATTGCCCCTGCTGCCACTCTCGCTGAGAAGGATGAACTTGTTTGGGCCTTGGACGCCACTCTCTTTGCCCTTTGCAGTGAGCACACCGATGATGCTTTGCAGATCTGCCTCTTTAGGGATGACAACCACCTGAGTGTCAGACATGGAGGGGTGATTCATGATGGGGATGCCTGGGAGGCACTGGCTGGCTGCTGGTTTAATCGGCTCCCCAGACCCTGCTGCACCGTGCTGAGTTTGCTTGTCAGCCTGAGTTGGTTCATTTTGCAGAAATGGAAGTTTTCTTCTTTTCAGAATCAGGGGTCTCCTTGGGCTCCGTCTCATGGTCAGATCGCTAAAATTACCCTTCACAGGACTGCTGTGCAAAAACAGCACACACATTAAATTAAATTAGACATGTAGGTAAAATAAAAACGCACGCGTCTAAAACACGATCGGTATGTTTTCTAAGAAAAAACTTTTCATTTTTTAATATTACTCCTACCTAAAATCACCGCTAGATCAACGTTCAATACTACCGGAAGAAAACTGACAACATCGAAGCTAGTCAGTGGGGTTAGTTCAGGCTGGATAAAAACCGTTCCACATTAATAAAACAAAAAATAAAGTAAAAGCACTTCGTAAATACACTAGGAGTCACAATAATTAAACAAGATATGTGTTTTTCGTGTGAAATTCAAACCCCTTTTGTCGCTATGTCGACTCAGTCGCTCAATAACTGCTCAGTTGCAATCGCTGTTTCCTTAGCGACCTGCGCCTTCTAGAACAGCCGTTTCTTAATTTCACATTTTTTTTTACCGTTTAATTGGAATACATTTAAAATTAATGTTCATTAGTTAATAGTTTATGCACATACAATTAAATATTCAGAGGATGTGTCTCTCTTTTTAAAGCACCGATTATCATAACTCCTAGTGTAGCAGAGCGTTAAATAGGCTATTTTCATAAAATGAATCCAAACCTTCATATTACTGCAATGTCTCAGGCGATCCCACTTGGCTGAACCACGAGTCGAAGTTGAAACATTGCGTTCATAGTTGTTGTTTTTTGATTAATCCACTGTAACTGTTACAAAACCATACCATGAAGTGTTATTTACATATCTTCAGCTCGTTTTAGAGACGTTTTTGAATTTTGGCGCTGTGGGCGCTGCCTCCTTCCGTCACTTTGATCACGTGGTAAATATTAACCAATAAGGAGCCAGGGGATACCATCGCTAGGTGGCAGTGGTGTAACTGCAGGTTGGCATTCTAATCGAACCAGAAGAAGAAAAAGAAGAAAACCGGGAAATACAACAATGCCTAACAAGACAAGAAGAAAAAAAGAGCAGGACAGACAAATTGTATAACTGAGTTTTATTCGCATATGTTAATTATAAAGACGATGTCTTACGCAAAGAACAACGTGAGAGAAAGAAGACTATAGAAGTAGGTGCTTTAAATGAAAACATTTGAATGTATACTTCTTAATTGATACTCTTAAACGTTACATTTTGGCATTTTCCGTATGGACTTTTACTCATGCGTACTTTCTGTGACATATCTTCCTCCAGGTGTTCAGGAATGATTTACATTAATGCCCCGCAAAGCCACAAAGGCCGATAAGCCTGCCCTGCAATTTATCGAACGGCCTGTAGGAGGAAGCAAACTTCAACATGCGCCTGAAGTCCGAGCTGCAGTCAACCCCAAGGATTTTTTTCCAGAGTCACTAACACATAACAGCTCAGATCTTAATTCGTGGGTAAGTTCTGTTGTTTATTCTTTTATAAGATGCACTTTTGGTGATGGAAAAAAAGCATCCAGAGTTCATAACAAAGTCCATTGCTTTGTTATGAACTCTCACTAATATCACTTTTTTTTTCTCTGCATAGTTTGTAGTTAAACAATTCATTTTGTTTAACTACAAATAATCTTATAGGGTCACAGAGGATTTGATTTGTTAAATCAATATAAAAAGCAGATTGATCCTAGAGTTTGCAAAATGAAGCAAAATATATTTATAGCTGCCAGGTATGGGAAAAGTCTGGGATATTTTAGATCTAGACAAGTTTTTATAAGTTTTCATATTTAAATCTTCACCACTGCTGAAATATCCACCATAAATTCATAGTGAACTTGGTTATCTGGTAATTTGAGTTTGGACACAGAATTTTGATGTGGAACCCATGGCCATGTTAGTAATAGCTGTAAAAGATTACTGCAATTTTTGTTGTATCATCCATTTAACTTAGTGTTTCAAAATTTCAGGTAAACCCACAGTTTGACTGTTCATCTGCAGCTGCACCTCCAAAGAGACGAGGGAGGAGAAATGGGCAGAAAACCTCAAGTTTACTTGACCAGTGTAGTCAGTTGCCCAGAAAAAACAACACATGCAAATACCCCTCATTGTCATTTCGCATTCGGTTAAAAGACCAGTCTCAGAAACAGTCAAGGACCACAACCACAACAAAAGGTGCAGTATCAAAAGTCAAAAATCAACGTCGTGCATCTGTTTGCCACAGCAAAAGAACTGCAAATTCAGCTTACTCAGACACTCCAAAAAGGCAGTTGGTCACAGCTAGAAAAAGGAATGCTGTAGCACTTCCTGATGGCGCTGCCTCCCACAGTGGAAGTTTGGATAGGCTTGGAATTCAGTCTGAAGAAGTGACAAGTAGATGTAGAATTCCAGCAGAGGGAGCTTCAGCACCTACCTCCACCAAGCTGATAACCACAGAAGTCAGCAGTGTTTGCCCACCACCTGATGTGGACACTCCAGAAAGGATGTGGGACGAGGTAAACTGTTCCTCTTCTTCCCCCAGATTTTTACTGTTTGCTCAGCCGTGTACATCACAATGCTGCAGCCCACCTGAAGCCTTGGTGGCCGACACACCAGAGAGGGACTATGGGGTGAAGGTGACATGGAGGAGGAGAAAGGGGCTGATGTTGATGTTAAAAGAAAGGGGGCTCCTTTCTGACTCAGATGCACTAATTCATTGCTAATTTTTTTTGTCATTTCTTTTTATATATTTTGATTTATTGTATAGATTACTGTTGTGTATTGCTGTAATAAATCAAGATAAAGCATACTCTTATTTTACCAACTGAAAAATACAAATTACACAGCACTGATTAATTCTATTATCTACATATAACTATGTTTACTTTCAAATTTTACTGTCAAATACACCAATATTTTGCCCGCTCCAAATATAACTCATAATACATCATTTAAAAAAGAACATTTTTCTTCGGTGACTGTCATAAATCTTATTCAACTGTTGCAGAACAGAATATAAAACAAAGGGGTACAAGTGAAAGACACAGCTTTATTTTCCATTTTTTTCAGAGTATCATCATTAAAAGAATTATGATTTAAATTATATAAAATATATATTTTATTTAAGGCATTGTTGATTTAAAATGCATTATAACTGCTTTTAAATGTGCAACCTTGTACTTGTAAAGCTACTCTATTAAAATCGGTATGAAATGTACTATTTTGATACAAATAAAATTCTACTCATTGTTTTCAAAAGTACGGATAAAATTACTTGTTTTTGAATGATTCCAAATTATTAATATTACTGTTATTTGGTTATTCTAATGAATGCTACTTGTTCCTCCAACAACCCAACTCACGCTAAAATGATCATTTCCTTAGGAGACATCCCTTTTGAGTTCGTGACTCACCTTTGACTTGTCTGGCGAATATTTCATAAAATCAAAATAAGAAACCAGGCGTGACGTTGCGCTCCTCTTCAGAATGTCATCCAATTAAATCCCACCTAACGAAAGAGCGGACCAATAGGAAGGCAGGTTCTTGATATGGTCGGTAACTAAGGACAGGGTAACAGTGCTCTCGACAACAGCGTCCAAGAAAAAGTGCAGTCCCTCCGGATGGTCTTCCCTTGGCAACAGTGCTTGAACATGAGTTACTACAGTATAAGGTGAGCGGAATTCATAATGTTGCTTTCGGTTTGTGTTCGGAGGCCTTCTGTGTTTCCAAATGTAAGATATAAATCCGAGTGTTGGCAACATATTTGCATTGGCACAAAAAACTTAATAGTCGCCTTCAACTTTTCCAAAAACAGCACCGCGAACAGTGGAGACAGAAACAGCTAATGTTAGCTTGTAACGGTAACCAGCAATATCTGACATCCTGCCACTGGCTTCTTAAGACAGTCGCGTTTTTTTTTATGTGTGAATATATCTTATTTTAATCAATAGTTGTAGTCAATAGAGGGATATTTTTTGCCGAGTGAGTGAACCCGTAGCAGTATTTACCCGTAAAATCGCTGCTGTAGCATTATTGACAAGAAAGAAGAGAAGGAAAAAAGGAAAACTCGTTATTGTACAAAATGAAGGAAGAACTTTAAAAAGAGCAAACACTGTGGTACATATCCTACAGTACATTGTGTTTTGATTGTTGAATTACTTGACAAAAGTAAAGAGCAACCCTGTTGCCTGTAGTTTGTTTAAACCAATTAGTGGATCTATTTTTTTGTTTTTGGGAATACATTTAGATTTTGCAGCTTCATATTTCAGTCACTTTCTGATTACCTACTGCGTGTAAATGCATTTTACAAGAGATGACGTGAAAACATCCTCAAAGTTCTGTAGCTTTGATTTCAGGAGGAAAAAAATCTTGTCATGTCTGAACACGCCTGTGAGTACAGAAGGGTTTTTATTTGTTGTGAATAACAGTAAGCAGTTAAATTAACAAATTATCATATAGGTCAATTAGAGTATATTTAAAAACAAAAATGTGAAATTATAATAATATTGCTTTTTACAATTTTTTTTTTGCATTGTGCAAACTGGGGCTTGAATAAACAACAGTGTTTTTGATAAGCTGCTAAAAAGTTATTTTAATAATGAGAATGACACATTTTCCTCCCAAAATATCAAGCAACAAAAAACTGTTACATTTGTAAAATAAACATGTGCACCAACCTGTACAGTTTATAGTAGGAATGCACTGATTTTAAAATTAAGACTGATATCCATGTTAGATGTTATTCTTGTTGTTATGACCGATAACCAAATTGTATATTATTTATGTATATTTTCCTGCCCTCTCTACAGTGAAAAATGTGGAGAGTTTTACTTTACAGTCTGACACCGGTATGTTAAAAATGGCTGAAAGTTGTCCAGCGTATTAATCCCATTACTTTGTGCTTCACTTATTTAAAGTCTTAGGTACACGTTTAAAATGTCACCTCCAACATGTCAAAGTAAGTAAAAGGAAATTTTATAAAGACTGGGTTTTGAAAATGCTAAATATTGTTTACATTTAAGCCACTTTTTTGTCCCTCCTCCCTTTCCTTTCCATTGTTTCGATGTCCACAAACTTGCAGAGTTTTTGGCATCTCTGTTACTGATGTCTATCAGATGTGGGCATAAAGGTCATTGAAAGTTCGTTCAGCTGGCGAAATATATTATTGGCTAGACAAGTTTGAATGCAAGGCATCTGAAACTTTAAAATCTAATAAATAATGCATCCAATGACTCCTTTGCAGTTGTGATGATAATGCACACATTGATACTGTGATGATTTTGATTGAAATCATTGTGCAGTTCTAATATGAACCTGATCAGACTGAAGGGAAGTTTTTGGATGAGTTAGAAAGTTTGTGACGAGAGCTCTGTTTTGTTTTGAGAGCTGTAGCCGTGGAGCACAAGTCTCACATCTTTTATT